CTGAGCATGTTCCCTGATGGCCCTGCATGACCACACCTTTGTCTGCTAAGTGAAGGGAACAGATGAAATGGCTCAGAGTTTACCTGTCGTGTGCACATGACTGTGAGCTTCTCAAGTGGGGGTGCTTTATATTTACTGACAACAAATCCAGCAGCAAGCCATTTTTATTAAGCGGTATCTTCAAAAACCATCAGTCAGTTCATTGCACTTTAGTGGCTGTGTGTTGCTGTGATGCTGGGAACTATGTCAGGGTCCTCCATAGTGGACAGGTTTCAGTGGAGCTTCCAGATCAAGACAGACTAGGAAGAAAGGCCTGGAGATCTATTTCCAAAATCAGCCGGTGAAAACCCTGTGTAAGATGCAACTAGTGGTCTCTCCTTGTCCAGAGCAAGGAGGAGGGAAGAACATCAAAGACATAAGGAAACAATTAGTCCAAGGGACTAATGGACCTTCACGACCTCAGCCTTCACAACCCCTAGACCAGAAGAACTAGATGGTGCCTGGCTACCAATGCCAACCACTCAGAAAGGGATCAAAACTGGAGATCCTGGATTGAGTGGGAGGAAAAATGTGGTACAAAAATGACCAAAATTACTATCAGACAGAGACTGGTGAAACCCCTGAGACTATGGCCCTTGGTTACCCTTCAGGCCTGGAATTGGACTCACTTTCATGGATTAGCTCTCAGCCAAATAACAGAAGGCCTGTGAGTGGTACACCTACCTCAGGGGGATGTACTCCTTAAAACAGTCAACTGTGAGGGACTGGAAGGACAGCATTTTCATACGGAGAAAGCTAGACAGACAGGAATATATAGGTAAAAGGACAGAGGGATGCAGTAGTCACAGGGAGGAGATGAGAAGAGAGCTGTTTATTGTGGTGGTTGTAATCAGTGCCATGAAACAAATGTGTATGAACTGTTGAGTATAAAAGGAATCTGCTTTGTAAATTTGTACCCATCACAGTAAAAAAAAAAAAAGAAAGAAAACCTGATGGATAACAACAGACCTGTGCCCAAGCCAGTGCTGGGGGAGGACCTGCCAGGCCAGAAAGCACTCCTAGCACACAGCAGCCACAATGATGGCTCCAGCCCACCAGCCACTGTGAAGACAGGTGGGACCGGGCAACGGTCTGTTCCACTGTGCGTGGGACTGCCAGGGGTGGGAGTGGGCTCAAGGCTGAGAAATGGGGTACAAACACCACAGGCACCACCACTCAGCCTTCCTTAGGCTCAACACAGGGACTGAAGACCCCAGGGGGACCCTCAGTTGTGGCTGGCATTAGTCCCCCACAGGAACTTGCAAAGTCTAGACCTGAACCCCCAACATCCTTTGTTAGACCAGGGACTACACAGCCCCCTGGAGCACCCACACACATGCAACCCACATCTGCCAACACTTGAGATGCTGGTTAGAGACATGTTTCCCAGTGGGAGCTCTGTGCACATTCTGTTGGCTTCCTTGTCTTAGGGTCCCGAAAGCGTCCCCTGGGAAGGAGTGCTGGGTGTTTACCACAGCCTTGGCTGTGAGAAGGATGCCTCTGAGCCCACCCTGCCTGGGGTGTTCAGACAGCTTTCCCAGCAGCACTGTCAGTGGGAAGAGGGAGATGCAGCCTATCCACGGAGCACAGAGGTCAAGGAGACTCAATTACAGCCCCACCCCACCCCCATCCCCAGACCCCGTTCATGACCCTGGTAAGGCTTGCAAAGCTGCACTTCATGAAGTGTGGTTATCTCCCTGGAAGACTTTAATCGGAATGATACCCATGACTTCACCTCCTGGAGGCCTGGATGTTTTCCTAGTAAGACAGGTCAAGTTTTTCTATGCAGAGAAATAACACTGAGGTCTCTGCAGGCTTTGTAGCCCCTAAGCAATCTATGCAGAGAAATAACCCTGAGGTCTCTGCAGGCTAGGCAGCCCCTAAGCACACGCACTTGGCACCCCATCTTGTCCTCATCTCTTCTTGCTATTCTTGCTGGTTTAATAGTCTGCTTATAAGTGCTAGGAAGACAGGATTGAGGTCAGTGTTGCTCACTGTGGTAGCTCCAGCTCTGAGCATGGTGCCTGGCCAGAGAAGGTTCCAGAGAATCACTTCCCCAGTGAGTGAATGGGCATACCCCTTCCCATAGGGTCAGCCTGACACCGGCCTAGCAGTGCTCTGAAAGCTGGCCATCCCTTCCCAAGCACAGAGAGGAAAGGGGTTTCAAGGTGACAAAGGTTGATGTAGACAAGCTGGAGTCGACCGCTCGCCTGAGCTCTGTTTTGCAATCTTTAAAGGGCAAAGGGGATTTCTTGCATGTGCCTGTTGGGAGCCAAGAATCTCAACTTGCCCCCCTGCTGGCTATAGCTGGGTAGCCTCTTTCCCAGCTTCCATGGTCAACTTGTGTCCCAAGTTGTTTCTACCAAATTTGATGCCCATTGGCTGTCTCTCACTTGAGTAGGCTCCCAGGGCAGGTGTGACACTGAGGCTTGGCCACTCAGAGCTGGCACGAGCCCTGCGTCGGTCAGCGGCACCCATGGCCCGGCACCCCCAGGTGGAGGCTCCAGCCCCACACATCCGTCTTCCACTTACCACTCAAGGGATGGGGGACGGTGAACTGCTTCTTGTGGGCTCGCATGGGCAGGACGCCCTGCTTCGGGCCCGGCTCCTCGGCCCGCTGAGCTTTCCTCTGCTGCACCATGCGCTCCAGCTTCCTTAGCCGCTCTTGGGAGCGAGCGATGAACTGCGGTTTACGGACTTCCAGAGCTTCCTAGGTGGAACGGAGAGGTATTTTAAGAGAAGTGACACCGAAAGGCAAGACAGCTATCCGACTGCCCCAGGAGACAATCACAAGGGGAACGCTTGTGAAGACCAAACGGCCACAGCGCCCAAACCAAGAAATCCACTGCTGTTGATTCCGACCCACAGTGACCCTGTAGACAGAGAGGAACCGTCCTACAGGGTCTCCACGGATGCGTGTCATCTTTATAGGAGCACGCTGCGACATCTTTCTCCTGCAGAACAGCTGGTGGGCTTGAACTGCCAACCTTTCAGTTAGCCCCGAGCGCTTAACCACTGCACCACTATAGCTTGTAAGGAGCCCAAACAGGTCACACTTTTCTGCCCTGTCTCATGCCATAGTAGCAGACATGCTGGCTCCCAGGTCCTGGTAGTGGATCCCAGCAGCACCACAGTCCCCAGCGCTCAGTGGACTGGTAACTAGTGCGAGGGCTCCACGTGTGAAGGAAAACACCCACCCACTCATTCTTCCACCCCGTCAGGGGCTTCATCCTGCAGGTGGCAAATTCCACATTCCAGAGATGTGGGTGGGAAGGAAGGACAGTATCACGGACGGTGTTCCTCTGGGGGCCAGCAGGCTGAGGGGCACAGTCACAGCGCCCCCTCCGCAGCGCGAGACGGTGGCCCAGCTCGTGGAAACCTCCCGCTGCATGGACAGTCTGCAGTATCTCTCTACCTACCCAAAACGCTTCTGCAGCTCCAGAGGTGAGTCAACACTCGCCCTGCGTCCACGTCCACCTCTCATGTCTCTGCACCCCCACCCCCACCAGGAAGCTGGCGGCCACTACAGTGACCAGGATGGAAGAGCCTGCCCTGCCTGCAGCTCTGCCTGGTGCCGGGGGCTGGGCAGGTGCTGTACACTTTGTCTCAGGGAGTCCCTGGAGAGCAGCCACCACTGTCCCCACTAAACGGATGTGAAAACTGAGGCTCTGCATGGTTTGGTGATTTGCCTGAGACCACAGGGGGTGGGGTGGGGGCTGGAACCTCAGCGTGGGAGTCCCGTCTTTCACAGTTGCTCCCAGTGCTGTGACGTGAACACCTCTGGCCACTCTGATCCTTGACCTGGGCTCCAGTCCTATCGCCCGGGAAGCCTGCCTTGCTTCACAGAGTCAGCGGCACCCGTGGCCTGGCACCCGGTACACGAGTCGCTCCCACCTGTGCCCTCGGTGCTGGCCTGCGCGCTTGTGGCAGACCCAGGCCTGCCTGGCTGCTATCAGGCCCCCAGCTGCCACCCGAGCTCCGCACAGGGGACGCGTGTGGTGCCGGCTCACTGGACGGCTGAGGTCATAGCGTTCCTCTACCGTCTTCAGCCCTCAAGGCTCCTCAACAGGCTTCCTGAGCTGTCTGTGCTGTTTACCTGCCTCTTGTGGCCTGAGGCGTCTGCTAGGCCTTGAGTTGCACTCCCTCAGCCACCGGGAGTATAAGGTGTGGTGGTCTGTGCTGAGAGCTGGAGAGACGGTCCTTGGTGATGGGCTGCTGGCCCAGGCCCTGCCCCAGGGCACCTAGGGCAGCACGGTATGCTCGGGGCTGAGAGGCCTTTGCTTGGGCCAACTGGGTACCAGGGAGCAGAGCAGCTGAGAGACCCATCTCCTGGGGGCCCAGAAAGCAGGGCGCATTTGCAGAAGGCTTTAGGACCCATGCCACAGGCTCCTGAGAGGCACGCGGGGTTCCTCGGTGTGGCATCAGCAGGCCTGCTCTGAGGTGGTCTCTGCCCCGTGAATTTCCCTCTCTGCTCTTTTGAGCTTTAATACCTGTGTGTGTAGACGTTTCTTCTCCATCATGAAAGGACTCCAGGCCAAAGCCTCCATCACTTCCATGTTACGGCCAGGTGATGCTGGACAACGCCCCCCAACTCAGTGTCCTTGTCTGTGAGACGGGGTCCAGAGTGGCTACCACCTCCCGGGGATGCTGTGAGGATCTGAGGGGAGGGGATGCTACCTCCGCAATGACCAGCACAGCTTCTGGGCACCAGCCAGGCCTTATAATGCCAACCGTGGCTGTGACATCCCCGTCACTATCGATGTTACCTGACCCTCATCCTAAGGCAGTGAAGCAGGCATCACTACTCCTCTCATTCACATGGTGACATGGAGGCCCAGAAAGGTTAGAGAGCCTGCCCAGAGTAACACAGCTCTGTTAGGTGGAGGAGTCTCCAGCCTCAGAAGTTCACATGTGGGGTTGTGTGTCCACTGACTCTGGGGACCCTGCCCTTGGCAGGGGTCAAGCCAAGATGGCAGGAGAGCTTACCTGTAAGGTCAGGCTGCTGGCAGGTGTTGCCTGTGTCTCAGAGCAGTCTCCCAGCAGGTCTAGGGTGCCTGGCTTCTCTGGAGGAGCTGTCTCTGGGGCACCTGGTGAGGGCTGGGCTGTGGTCACGTCTCTGTTCTTCTTGCATTCTTTTATTTTCACCACCACGTCACAGCATGCATCATCTCCTAGGAGAGCAGAGGATTCCGTTTAGAGGACACCGAGTGCCTGCTGCCTGGCTCCCCAGCTCCACTAGACAGACAGACAATTCTGAAAGTAGGAACACCAGTGGGCTTCGGTGGGCCTCGTTAAGCCGACGAGATCGTGCCTAATTCCAGGCCCTCCTGGTTGCCCTGGTGGCTTCCTGACTGATTCTTGCCATAGGTGTCCCCTTGGCTTCTGGGGTTCAAATGCGGTGCACAAGGAGAGGAGACTCCTCTATTCTGAGCATCATGTAAGTGTGTCCTATATGAGCATTACCGTTTGGCTGTTCTGGGACAAGGTGCTACTCTGTCTCCCACTGGCTGCACTAATGACACGGATGGGGGGATCTCATTCAGTTACCCATCCCTCCCTTAACGTGAAGGAGCCTCCACTGTGACTTTATGTTGGTAACTGCAATCACATCTCTCTCAATGCTGGCTAAGACAGGAGGAACCTCAGTG